GGCTCTGGCATGCTGGATATTAGCTTCTGGGCCAAATGCTGACTGATGGCGATCCATTCTTGCCTTATTAGTTCTCGGAGTTGATCACAATTTGTGGGCTTCTGCTTGTCCACTCGCCTTTTGAGGACTGACCACAGGTTCTCAATGGGATTGAGATCCAGGGAGTTGCCTGGCCATGGATCCAAAATTTAAATGTAATGATCTTCGAGCCTCTTCTTCATCACTCTTGCTTTGTGACATGGTGCTCCATCATGCTGGAAAATGCACGGATCATCACCAAATTACTCATGGATCGCTGGAAGAAGTTGCTCTTGCAGGATGTTTTGATACCATTCCTTATTCATGGCAGTGTTTTCGGGCAGAATTATGAGAGAGCCCACTCTCTTGGTTGAAAAGCAACCCCACACATGGATAGTCTCAGGATGCTTCACTGTTGGCACATCACAGGACTCATGGTAGCGTTCACCTTTACTTCTCCGAACAATCGATTTTCCAGATGTCCCAAACAGTCGGAAGGGAGCTTCATCAGAGAAAATAACTTTGCACCAGTCTTCTGCCGTCCAATCCTTGTACTTCCTGCAGAATTTCAGTCTGTCCTTGCCATTTTTCTTGGAGAGAAGTGGCTTCTTTGCTGCCCTTCTTGACACCAGGCCGTTGTCCAAAAGTCTTGGCCTCACTGTGCGTGCAGATGCTCTCACACCAACCTGCTGCCATTCTTGAGCAAGCGCTGCACTGTTGGTGACACAATTCTGTAGCTGACACCTCAGGAGGAGATGGTCCTGGCGCATGCTGGACACTCTGGGACTTCCTTAAGGCTTCTTCACTGCAGTCGAACCTCTCTCCTTGAAGTTCTTGATGATCTGATAAATGGTTCTTTCAGGTGCAATATTCTTTGTAGCAATTTATTTGCATGTGAGGCCATTTTGATGCAAAGCGATGATGGCTGCACGTGCTTCTTTGGAGGTAACCGTTGCTAACAAGAGCACAATGATTGGAAGCACTTCTTCCCTCCTTTTATAGCAATCAGTCTGCTCTTACAGTCTATTTAGTATGATAGTGATTTCACCTGACTAGTACTCATTCACACTTTCACGTGTGCTGCTGATATGATTAGTCAATTAATGTCAGCTGGTCATTTTGTGTTAGGATCAAAAAACAGTGAAATTAGTTTTTTTGTGAAAAGTTTTTAGCAATTATTTAAAATGCATCTGCTCACTCTACACAATATTCTAGAAACAATGTGAATGAACATCACAACAGCTTAAGCAGCAAACTTTGAAAAACAAAATTTATGTCACTGCCAAAACTTTTGGCCATGACTGTATTAAACAAAGGAATTACAATGTATACAAAAAAGTATTATAACGATTGCTTTTATATTATTAGTAATAGAAAGGCAAATATTATAATACTTTCTCATGCCATCAGCATTCAGCAAATAAAAGTTACGCATTTATATCATTTAAACAAATCTTTGAATGACTAATGAACATTCAAATTTCACAAACCTTGCAAACTTAGACGGATCCAGCTGTGAGATTTTGTAAAGTGTGCATTTGTATCCTGCATGATCACGTGTTCTCTGTGTGATGATCAGTCCGTATGAATTGAATGCGGACAGGAGGAGAGTTTAACCTCACTGGAGATGTGTGATCGACAAACTTTAAACTCGTGATTTCAAACTATCCTGCGCTTTATCCATTTGCCCACTGCCATATTCATGTCATTTTCACTGCGTGCTGTATGTAAAATCACTGTTACCTTGGCTTTTGTCACAGTTCGCTAGTGATGTTACATATGACACTGAAGCTTCAAAGCGCGTATCGGGTAAGCAGAGCAATTTCTCACGAAGCTCTGTGCCGGAGTGCGTATTGTTTTCAGAAAATCACGTGATCAGCAGAAAATGAAGCCTCACTATCTGTCCAATCCAAGCGGCAACCTCCCGATCTCTCTCGTGAAGCCAACAAGGAAGTGACTTAAACTGTAATTCATCAACTGGCCGCTAGAGGCTGGCTGCAAAAGGGAGTCAATCCCATAGACACCCATGTTAAAATGCCCAACTTTACAGCAGAAAAAAACATGTTTACAGCCTGGTTCAAAAGATTATTTGGGTCTATATAGCTAATTTTGCCCTTCATGACAACTGTGAGGGGGGTGAATTTTTTTATAACTCATTTGTTTAAATTATATTAAGCCTTAAAGTTCTGCATAATTAAGGGCGTGGCCACTTGAGTGACAGGTGGATTGCCGCTGCTGTCACCATCGTCGAGCTAGGAGGGCGTGGCTTCAGCAACCTGCTCCCGCTTCTTTCCCCATTTTCGATTATCCAGGAGTGACGCGCTGTGACGCGCTGCCAAGATGGCGACGGCCGCCTCCGCCCACTTTTGAGCTTCAAAAACGCTCTTCGGAAATCTACGGGTGACGTCAGGGACACTACTTCCATGATTTTATACAGTCTATGGTCCAATCACGTGCGTGTGTCGGAATGTTCAAAACCCCACTCTTACTTTACGAGTAAGTTTTCATTCAGACTTATTCAATTACATTTTTAAATACCCAGCCATACAAGTAATATGAAGAATAAAAAAAATATTTGGCATATGCAATTCAAATGTGTACATTATTCTTCTATTACATCATATTGATATCCATATAGGCATTTAATGTCACAGTTGAATGGGTAAATTATTTTATCAGAGAGAATGTGAACACACACACACACACAATTTTCACAGGCTTTGGGCTGCTATATTTTTTATTGACCACCAGATAGCGCTATTTTTGAAACTCGCGAAGCTTTGAATCTTTTCCCGAAACAGTGAGAGGAAAGCATCAGTGCTTCATGAGGCTTCATTTGCCCATCACTACGATTAGCTACTGAGAGGAGCACGGAGCGAGGAGACGCAGAGTCGAATTCAAACATATAGACTTTAATCATATCCAGGGAACCAGGAAAACACACAAAGCAAGAGTAGACATACAATTCCGGACAACGGAGAACAGAACGGGCTAGAACTCAAATAGGGCAGATAACGAGGGGCAGACAGGTGAGGAGGATAACTAATAACCAGGAACACCTGGGACAAATAGAACTAAATGGGGACAGGGAACCGGAAGGACCAAATAAGGGCATAAAGAAACAGGAGGCAGGAACACAGGGAAAACAAAACAAAAACCGACCATAAACTTGACAGCTTCATTTGAAAAAATATTATTCCCAATACACACAAATTTCCCAGAATACTGAGTGCCCTGTTGGTTACAGTGTTTACTTCCTTTTTAATTATATTTTTATTAAATATTTATGTATTTGTAAAAAATACTTTGTCATCTAAAGTATACGTATATTTATTTTACACATTTATTTTTAAATTTCAAATGTATTAAATATTAATTAAAATAAGTAACATTATATCGGCCATCGGCAACCTTGCTTTCCAAGATATCGGCATCTGCTTTCAAAAAACCAATATCAGTCGACCACTACTTTTAATTAATCCATTTAAAACTGGATTAATGGCAGATGTTTTGCTATAAATTACAGACATGGCATCTGAGGGCTAATTCTCTTTTTCCCTCAGTTATGCTGCTTTATTTCCAGACTTAATTATTGACTCTTTCTTACATACTAGAGCACATACACACATGCGCACTCTTCAAAAACGGTGCTGTAAATGAAATTTGTAGGCCTACAAATTTCATTTACAGCACCGTTTTTGAAGAGTCCGCATGTGTGTATGTGCTCTATGTATTAGAAATGAAAGATACAGATTGTCAGCTTGCTTATTTTGCTCAAGGATTTATAAAGTCCTCATGTCATACAAATAAGAAACTATGCTTCTAACTAGGGATGCACGATATTATCGGACTGATATCGGAATCGGCCGATAATGGCTTTAAATGTAAATATCGGCATCAGCCTGATATGAAAAATTATGCCGATATGTCTTGCCGATAAGAGGAATATATTAACTCACATGTGCTCAGGGTGTGCTAGCGATTAGATCACGTCAGCAGTGTGACTCATTTTTGAAGCAAAGTTTTGTCTGAATGATGATTAGATTCACTGTTTTCGATTGCTGCATTTAAACTGAGAATGCACGTACAGAATGATGCCTTCTGTGTGTGATTGAGTGAACAGTAATAGCACATGCAGCGGCAGCCTCCCCGGGGTCCAAACGCCCGTTCGGTAAGAAGTTTTAATCTGTAGGGGGCGCTGTTGGCCTACTTCTAATTAAGTTAAAAGTAAAATAGCCTACACAAATAACATTTAGACTGTGTTTTTGATTAAATAAAGCAGTAATTGATATCTTAAAATAATGTGTATGTTTTGATTTAAAGGTCAGAAGCTATAGCTTACATGAAAAAAAAAATCACAAACATGACACTAAATTAAATAACTATATATATATATATATATATATTGATTCATGTGTAATGTGTTTTATTTTTAAAACAAATCATAAGCTCTAAAAGATTTATCTTTTGCTTTAGACCATCTACAAATGTTAAATCTTAAAATAAAATGTTAGGGTTAACACTGCATCTTTCTGGGGGGGGGGGAAATTCAGCGATTGATGTATAGTTTATTTATAGTTATTTTCAAAGCGTCAATGTACTGTCAAACAACCTTCATTATTGTTTATTTCATTCTAACAAATAAGTTATTGTTAAAAACTTACCAAAATTAAAATATTTTGCTTATAATTTCTGCACAGCAGAGACTTGGTGTTGTTTCCAAACAAAAAGGAATATATCGGTATCGGCCAAAATGAGTTGAAAAATATCGGCATATCGGATGTCGGCAAAAATCCAATGTCGTGCATCCCTACTTCTAACCACAGGTCAAGAGTTGTCGTTCCAACCACACAACTTTGCGATGCTGTTTGCAAATGTTCATTTTGAACTACGACGGAACTTGCATCCATAGTTGGCTAACAATGCTATTGGGAAATGCACCGCTGCATGGCAGAACATGAATAGAATAGAATCACTCCTACCTGTCCAGTGTTGGCTGGGGGAGAGAATCTCTTGGCACAAACCACAAAAATATCAGGGTGTGGCTTGCCATTCTTTACTTCAGGATCATCTCCAAGTACAATGTGACTGAAGAGGCTGAAGAACTCTTTATGACAGCTGGTCTTCATCTCAAAGGTTAGACCTGCTGAGCTTGTGCCAACAGCAATAGGAATCCCATGCTTGTGTAGATGATTGACAAGCTTTTCTACACCTGAAAAGACATAAAATGGTCGCGTAAATGAATAAGCAAGCCGTTTTACCTGACCTTCAACCAGCTTCTTTAGTTCAGATGGTGACTTTGTGGCAAACATGTGGTCTAGATGCTTAATTGAGTGCCTTCACCTTCTGTTTCAAAATCACCTTCCAGTTCTGATCCTGCAAGTACAGTACCTGGCAATAGAGAGGCTGTGGGAAATAATTTGTCTTGAATTCGTCTGGTCTCCTCCAGGAGCTCTTCGGGGGTCATGGGGAGATCAATTTTGTCTCTTATGATCCTGGCAGCCTCCAGAGCTTTCTTGCCCATCACAGAGGACTTCACTTCCCATGTATACTGCTTATTGAACCTGTCACAGACTTCCTGGTATGCGACAGTGTACAACCTCTCTGTATCTGAAAGAGATACAAAGTACAAATAAAAACATGCAGTAATACAGTGTAAATTAATTGGACGGACAAAAATGATAAATAACGTCTAATACAGAAACTGATTAATTAAGACTGCTTACGAGTGGGTGTCAACTGCAAATGAGGTGTAGGCTATAAAATGTTATAGATGTATAACATATACAATTTAAAATTCGCTGATCTTTGAAATGATCAGAATCACTCAATGAATACAGTGTCTTTCTTAATTTACTGCATGCAAACAGAAGCACAAGCGCTGAGTTGATTTAAAATCTCGTTTATTTTAACATGATTCTCACCCACCTAATAATAACCCGTCCATATCGAAAAGTACGTGTGTTACTGGTTTATACGACATTTTAAAGGATACTTTTTCTTTACTGTGTGACTACACGGAACTTCATTGACAGTGACAGCAGCGACGCGAAAACTGCTGGACAATCGTAATCACACTGAAACCAAAGATCAACAGCTTCAGGTTCTGGGATACTTCAGTTCATATCTTGCTTGATATATTTGAATGTATAATGTACATGCTTTCGTAAAACCATTTATGATTACTTAGCCCGCTTCTTATCTGCGATGAACTTTTAAGTAAAAACTCAGGACAACTTTTAACTCGCCATTCTTGTTGCAAAGGATTAGGGGAAATGCAGTTTTTCAACTCATCGCACTGACGCTCTTAAACTGGTGGTATACACAGTAACACAGTCAAACCAAAATGTATGCAGACACCTTCAACATTTCTCCCATTATCACAGTTTATCCGCTATAGTTTAAAAAATGGTAATAAAATATGACAAGAACTCAGAGTTAAACTGTGTCAGAACAAATTCATCTTGATAATGTCAGATAACTTTGATAGAAAGGTATAGCTGTCAGCTGTTAAATTTAAGTACACAATTAGATAATACCAATTTAGGTCAACCAATTACCAAGCAATGCTTAATTTTGTTCAGTCTTTGGTGTAAAAAGGTCGAATTAGCAATGAACACTTTGAGCGGTTCTGCAACGTCACATAACTGCCAAATTCAAACTGTGCTTTTGAGCTTTAGCTGGCGCTGAGCCAGAGAGAAGTGCACTGCCCTTGTCATATTATCACAACTATGCAGTGTTTTTAACCACATAATGTTTATTTTAGGTTTCAGACATTTAAATACACATTAGTACTAGTAAAACAATACATTTAGAGTTTGTAAAATACACACATATGTCTATGGAAGCAACAATAACAATCCATTCAAATTTAATTTGCCAATGTGTTTTATTCATATCACATAGTGTAAGTAACTATAAAGTTCACTCTATTCTTCACCAAGTTCACTGGCAACTTATTACTTGTATTTCAGGAGAAATTGATGAATTCACATGCTGTAAATCTGACTGACAGGACTCTCACTGCAGCGCGAACAATTATGGCGGCGCCCATCTCATGTTACAGATCACGATCAAGATCATTTAGAAAGGTTTTTAAACTACAAAACACACTCATTTACACATAATTGTGAATCGGAATATCAGATTGTTCATGACATGGTATGCAGATTTGTGAATATTTTAAATAAAAGGAAAAACGAAATAAAAGTGATCCATCTGTCATACAGTTGCAGTGTCTCATTTAGAAGGATCTAGAGCATGGTTGCGCTCTCATACTACTTAAATGAAGGAAAACTATTTCTAAATTTGGAAAGTAATTTGAAAAAAAAATGATTTTACTTGTTTTATTTTGTTCAGTGTTTGAGGAGCTGCAGCGTACGTACAGCAGACATCTATTAGAGAAAAAAAAGGAGGAGGATATTAAAAACAAAGTTTATCCGTTTTCACCGAGGCGATTTAAGGTAAGTTGTAAACACCACATCTGCGCTTTTGTGTACATCTGCCGGCGCCGGCATTTTTCAAATTAACAACGTTGTTCACGGCGACGCAAAGAATTGTGGGTTATCTGTAGCAGCGAAGGATACACCTCATGCGTCCTCCAAATTCCTGTGAAAGAAGGTCGCATTTGAAGGTTGTATTCGGAGTGTCCTACTTGCTTTTCTGAAATGAGACAGCCTCGATGACGTATGCAGCCTTCGAAATGCAACCTCCGGAGGGTGCAGCCTTCTAAATGAGACACAGCTAGTGTTATTGTGGCCGCGGTGTGTCACGTAACAAGCATGATGCATTACTTTTTTTAAGGCTACTGTTATTTTAGGACTGGAGCCCTCCTTGGGCTGGACGTGGGAACTGGAGCCCTCTCTGGGATAGACTGGGGGACTGGAGCCCTCTCTGGGCTAAACTCGGGGACAGAAGCCCTCTCTGGGCTAGACTCGGGGACAGAAGCCCTCTCTGGGCTAAACTCAGGAACAGGAGCCCTCCGTGGGCTAAACTCAGGAACAGGAGCCCTCCGTGGGCTAAACTCAGGAACAGGAGCCCTCCGTGGGCTAAACTCAGGAACAGGAGCCCTCCGTGGGCTAAACTCAGGAACAGGAGCCCTCCGTGGGCTAAACTCAGGAACAGGAGCCCTCCGTGGGCTAAACTCAGGAACAGGAGCCCTCCGTGGGCTAAACTTGGGGGCTGGAGCCCACACTGGAGAGAGTTCTGGGGCTGGAGCCGACACTGGAGTGAGCTCTGGGGTAGGGATGAGGGTGGAGAACAGTCTTTTCCACCTCAGATTCCACTTCTGGTTACGGGTGCATACAGCGGCCGGCGGGCTTGAGTGAGCCACGGCCGGCGGGCTTGAGTGAGCCGCAGCCGGCAGGCTTGACTGATGACTGGCCGGCAGACTTGACTGATGAACGACCAGCGCACTTGACTGATGAAGGGGGTGATAGCAGTTGGCCCCGATCCAGAACAGAGAGTTGAGCGTGGTGTCGTCCAGTGCTGTTTTAGTCGTGATCTTGCTAAGGGGGGGACAAAAGACTTTTCAAAAAAACAAAACAAAACAGGGAGAAGGGGCGCCGCTTACTTTGTTTCGGTCCGGAATTCTCACAATTCGCTTACTGTGGCCAAGACGAGGAGACGAAGGAGCACAGAGACAAAGAGGATTAGCATTCAATAGTCTTTATTCTTACAAATACAGGAGCACACACGGAACAGGCAGGAACTCACACGTAGGACGAGGGGTAGACGTAAAATTCCAGACCAAGACAGATTGCACAGACTCGAACTTAAATACATGGGGTAATTAGGAAAACACATCTGGGATCAAATGAATAATCAATCAGGACAGGAACAGGAAGAAAACCAAACATGGGCATAAAATAAACATGGAGCACATGGGGGAGGAAAAAACAACACAAGAAAAAAATATAGTAACAAAAAAATATATAAAAAATTATAGCTGGTGTCTGAATAATTTATATCCCTATATATGCTATTGTTTGTTTGTGTTATTTTTTTATTTATTTTTTGGTCCTAAACCAAGATTGATCTTTTCATGTTACACATTGTATAGAGATTAGCCTATTTTTAAACAAAATAAAGAAATAGTTTTAAGATGTAAAAACAAAAATAAAACAAAGACTATAATGATGTAAAATGAATAAGAAAAACATAATACTCTGCACTATTTCTAGTTCATTAAGCAAATAAGAATATTTGCGGCATTGCCCATGTTATCTAATTTGTACAAAAGGTCAGTCTCTTTTCCTCTATTGAAGCAAACAAGATGCTCTTTAGAACATCTTGCTGGGATGGCGTGAATCATCAGGATTTGCACAAACATAAGGAGACCATACCAGCTTGAGGGGCACCAAATACTAAGATAAATTATTTATTCATTATTATTGAAATGGGGGGGGGGG